CACTGGTGACCATGGAGTATCCAAAGGAAATAAAAGATAAAAAAACCTATAACAAGCTTGTTGTTCCATTGAAGGGTTCTGGAGATATCATCAAGCCTTGCTGGCAACAAAAAGAGCTAACAAAGTGAAAGATAAGACTGATGTACCTGCATAACAAGCCTGCTATTCCACTGAGACATTTTGGTTATACTGTAAGCCAGGAAAGCTGAGTTAGAGTAGTTTGCAGTTACAACAAGATCCCACTTTATGTCAGTGCAGTTCTTTCACATGACTGCATTTTTAATACTGAGTATCTGAAACAATTACACTTTTTTGTTGTTGTCGTTTAAAAAGTGTAATGTAGGGTTTATTTTGTAAGTTGCCTATCACATTTCTAAATTAGAAACTGAAAGGGAACTGCCTGCAAGTGTAAGAACGATTAAGCAGCCCAGTTGAACTCCCAATTTTAGTAGAAAACCTGGCTCCTACTCACTCTCCCATTGGTGTGGGCCTCAAAAGTTTAAGATGAAACAAGGCTCCACTAAGGCAGTTCCAAAGGAGAGGGAGTTACCCCCTCTGCCAGTGAGGACTAACAAAGGCTGCCTCAAACTATGGAATGAAAGTGGAGCCCAGGAAATGGATGCCAACAGCAGGGAGGGGACAGAAACTCCAACCAAGAAAGTGGAGAACAGCAAACTTCCTGCAGGAATGAGAAGCAGAGGAGAAAGAATGAAGCAAATCTTCCCACCAAAGAGGCAGGTTATTGCTGCTGCTGACCAAACATGGGASTGCTGAGAAACAATGGCTGAATGCAGTCATCAAACTGCTCAGTTTTTACATTTCTAAAGGTTTTTGTATTATATCCACTCAGGCATCAATCACAATGTTATTAAACCATGAGAGAGRTGTCAGATCAATGGCTGTATTGGAAACATTTTGAATGACAGGCTGATCATGGAACAATTTCAGCCTCCATACATTATTAAACACAAACTAATGCTCCTCTTTCAGTACTACCTTTACAGACTCACACGCTATTCTCCCTCTACAGTACCTTTTTTCATAGCAGACCTAATTGTAGATGAATATTACATAGGAAAAAACAAGACTTACTATAATAAATAATAATAAACTAGTGAAAAAAAAATCAAGCTTTAAACCAGTTGTCTATCTTCACATTATGCCTCTGGCATTAAAATTTCATTTTAATACAATTGTAGGAGCTGAGACTGGGYTGTCAGCCTTAATCAGAATATTCAGAGCTATTGCTTTCTTGCTSTAATCTTGACATAATTTAAGCTTAGGTTTTCTTTATGTATTTGCCCACAGCTAGTACACCCATGTAAATGCTTTTTGCTCTTTTTGAGTGAAGAGGTAGGTATGAAAAATACATATAAATATGGCAGAAATCACCCCTCTGGCAGATTGTCTGCTTAACTCCAGATTTCAAGCAGACTGGGGAAGTGATCAGAGCAGCACACGTGCCTCTCAATTCATCAGCAACAAAAAGTGTATTTTCACCGTCAGAAATCAATTTGATTTTCATAAAGGAAAAAAAGAATTATGTTTCTGGTGGATAAAGCACAGTAACTGGGACATGCAAATGCTGTACTGATTTCTCTAACACAGCAATATAGGGTTGAGTTGCCATAAATGACTGGCCTTTACCTCCTCTCTCTCTTTCTCCAGTGCCCTATATCATCCTTTGGCATTGGAATCAAGCAAAGATGGATTTGCAGCTTTTCACTTGGCCTGGCACCTTGATAGCCTTAGTGCATCTTCCTGATTAGGGAGTGCTTAGTATATATAGTAATATATATTAACAGAGATGTCTAATTTTATGCAGACAATTCAAGAATAGATAAGAAATAAGAATGTTAAAAATACAATAAAATGAAATGAAATATGCATTCTCTGTGCATTTGGATAGAAAGAAAACTTCTTGTCCCTATTCATGGAAAATGGTTCCCTAAATAAAATTATTTGTGTTTTGGTGGGAAGGGTCTACCTAGCCCAAAGGAAATACAGCTGACTCTGAGTGAGTTTGTAGGAAAACTACTKTGTTTTGACTGCTGAATTGGATGCTCCCAGCTGGAAGTGAACAGCCCTGCCAGCATTAAGCCTGCCCTGGGCTGGTGACCAAATAATCAAGTGGATGGAGGCAGCTGCCCCCTGGGTTCCCAAGGGTTTTAATGTGTGCTTCAGGGCTGAGAGATCAAAGCTCAAATCCAGTTTTTGGAGTCAAGATGGGAAATGCAGAGGCTGCTGTTACTCAGGTCACTCGCCTCACCAAAGAGCTAAAGACTGCTCCTTTGTGAAGGGAGATGGAATGGCTCCAGCCTGGACMGAAGATTTTAATCTTTCAAGGAGCATCAAAAGGCAGAGTAATTCCCACAAGATAAGCTGCATAGGCCCTTACGCTATTTCTCTAGCTCACTCACTGGAGAATAGATTTTCTGTTGAAGCAATGTTTTAGAGACCCAGTGTTCATCCTGAATAAGGCGAGCGTGGAAGTGGTTTTGAAGTCAACTCCCACTTAAGTGACCACAGGGGTCTGTTTCAGCTGAAAAATATGTTATGYTAATTAGCAAAATGCTTTGTCTAAGGAAGTGAACATATGAAAGCCTTCCAATAAAAACTGCTTTGCACACTGCAAGCTTTTAAATTAAATTGGGAYAGAGTTACTGCCAACAGTGAGTAGAATTATTTGTGACTTTTTGTCTTRTGTGTCTAAAAAAACCTGGCTGGCTTCTTGAAAGGTAGCTGGTGGCTCTTTATGGCACTCTGTTGCACAGTTTTAAGGATAAAATTGAAAAATATATTCATAACAGAAATGTATCATTTATATCTTTTATCTCCCATAAAACCTAGTCCTGCTGAGGTATTCACAGTAGCATGGCTTGGACTTGGCACAATTCTTCATGCTTTATGCTCTCAATGCTCCTCTCTCTGGACCAAAACACAGAATTCCAAATAAATGAAGCAAAAATATCTCTAAATAAATCACATCTCTAAATAGGTTGAGTTTCCCACGTTTGTTTGGTTTTTTTTTTTTTTTTCTGTAACAGAATACATGCTGAAGAATGGATTTTACATCTGGATGAAAACATCCAACAAAACTGCTACTGGCAGCCCTAATCCTGATTTCTGATAGGAGGATTCCCCAACAGGAGGAATTCTCAATGGCATCCATGATTATCCTGCTTCAAGGGTACTTTAACTGAATACGGTGCTGCTGCTGTTTTTACCAAAGAGAAATCCTATATCTGATAAAATAGGATGTCATTTGAGACATTTGAAAAGCCTATGGATATTGTAGCACTCATCAATCATTTACTCTTTCTTGCCCACTAAGTTCTCTGCAAATGACTTAGGAGTTTTACAGTAGTAAACATAAACCTGTATGGCATACCTCTCAATGTATTTCAAGACATTACCAAAGAATGCTGTGACCTTGAAATATAAAATTGTGTAAAGAGCTAGGAAAAGAAAGGACAATTTTTCATTTGTTTGCAGTAATCTTGAGTTCAGGATCTGATTGTCACCTGCTAGATGACCCACTGCCTCTCAGAGTCCTTTGCCTGGCTCTCCAAATGGATTTGTTACTGCAAGCACTGAGAGAGTGGTCTCAAGTCAGAAGAGAACATYAGCTGGGAATTTCCTAGTTTGCATTAGGATTGTGAGGCAATGAGCGCAGAGGACAGTGTCTGTTAAGAGTTACGGAATTGAAAATGACAGGCAGAGGAAAAAATTCATGGGAACTGCCCAACAGCACAACCAGAATTTGTTTTCCATTCCTTGCCTTAGCTTTTAAACATGCTTTTGAATCACGGTAACTACACATGCAGAAATTCTCACTGGTCCAAGTATTTCCTTCAATTTCATGAAGAGAAAAGTGTTGAGATTAACTTTACAATGTAATTCTCACTTCTTTTGATTGTTGAATGCAAACATGTAAAATATCAGGAGTAAACAATAAAACATCATATTTAAGATTAGTATGAAAATATACAGAAGTCATAGATCTTAACAGAGGTTTTCAACACTGGAGTTGGRATTAAATTCAATGATAAAGATAAAAGGAGGTGAAGAGAAGAGGATCAAGAAGAGACCCAATCCAGTGAGTTAAATAACTTTGCACAGATGYAACTTTATTCAGAACCTTATTCAGTTAAAACAAGAAGTTGGAAAACTGTATTCYTATAGATTATCAAGTAGAACAGTAGTGAAAAAAAAGGATAAGGGCATAACAGAGAATGTTACGTAATTACATTTTTCATAATGTAGTTATTACATAAGACACACATGTACTTAAGATATAGAAGTGTAATATGTATGCCAGTATTTTTGCAAAAATTTACATTACATGCAGTGTGCACACATTCACATATCAAACCACCATATATATTGTCTATAGTTGCTGTAGGAACTTTTAAGAATTTTTCAGAGAGCTTCAATGATTTTAATTAAGAGGGGTTTTTCCCTTTCTCTGACTCTGGGGGAGTTAACTGAGTTCATCTACATACTAATCTGAGTATGACCTACACAGCTTAAAAAAGAAACCAGTTCTTGAAATATTCATGTTTAAATATGATATACTGGAAACACAGCTAGCCTTGACCAAAAATCACATTTCTAAGCCTGGAACTAAATATGGCTGGTTGCTATGGGTTAGAGGTGAGTAATGGATCCTACCACAAAGCCAGAACTCAACCTTTCCCAATGGTATGAAACTTTCWGGACTGACAAGCAAATAGTTTTCTATTAAAAACCAGATTGATAGAGTACTACTTCCATAATTACACTAGAATTAGTACAGATAATTCCTCCTCAGTACAGAGCAAGTTTAGTTGAGTTACCATTTTACTGCTCATACTACTTTGTCATTTCTGTTCTGTAATAACTAATGCTGACTGTAAGATGGTGAAACACTGAAAAGCAATGAAAACAGTAATGAATTACCTTAAGAAACTCAGGGAGCAATAGATGCTTTGCARTAGAGAAACAAATAGTGATCTTACCGTTCCTGTTGTGCCCAAGGAAAGGTGGTTCATCTGTTGGGTCAGAGGGCCCATCATGCTTGCTGGCTGCATTGACATAGTGTGGTCCATTGTTGGTGTTATCACAGCACCCTAGAAACACACATTATTTACAGTTCAACCTCTCTCTTATTAAAA